GTGGTGTTAGCTGACGACGAAACAGTAAACGAAGCGGGGGAGGTGATCGAGAGGGGGATGCGAGAAGAGGAAGATGACCGTACCTTGGAGTGTGGTTCTATGGAGCTGTTTGCAGAGGTTGAAGTGTCGTGGGATGGTCGGAATCGCCCTTCAACTCTGCACATAAAAGGTCGTCTCAATGGAGTAACCCTGGGAGTGCTGATTGATAGTGGGGCTAGTCACAATTTCATCTCTCCTCATGTAGTGGCTGCTCTGGAGTTGAAAGTGGACAAAAGAAAAATGATTGGGGTGCATCTAGGATATCGGCACAGGGTCTCTACTACGGGAAAATGTGAGAAGTTGGACGTTCAACTAGGAGAATTCTCTACTACGGTGGAGCCATATGTGTTGGAGTTGGAAGACATAGACACGATTTTGGGAGTTTTTTGGTTGCGAAGATTTGGGAAGGTTACTTTTGATTGGGAAGAGATGACTCTAAGTTTCCTTTGGCAAGACAAATATCTAGAACTACGAGGTCAGAAACTAAAAAAATATGAAGCAATGTCTCCAACAAGATTACTTCAGCCCTTGCCTATTCCGAATAGAATTTGGGAAGATATTTCTTTAGACTTCATTACAAGTTTACCAAATTCGAAAGAGTTTCAAGCTATACTTGTAGTGGTGGATGATTGTCTAAATATGGCCACTTTATTTTGCTGAAACATCCTTACACTACAAGGAAAATTGCTGAATTGCTTGCTAAGGAAATTGAATTATTTCGATTACAGGGAACAACTCTGAAAATGAGTTCTTGTTATCATCCTGAGACCGATGGTCAAACGGAAGTGGTAAGCCGATGTTTAGAAGCTTATTTACAATGTTTTGTGTCGAAACAACCCAAGAATTGGTCATATTGGGAACCTTGGGCAGAAATTGGAGAAGTGTTTTATAAGGTGCAGTTGCCAGAATCAACCAAAGAACATCCAGTTTTTCACATTTCCCAACTGAAAAAGGCTATTGAAAACCAGACAATAGAACCGACTTTACCAACAAAGTTGACTCTTGAGGATGAAGATAAGGAAGAGCCGGAGGCAGCGCTAGCAGCCAAGGAGATTCCGAAGGGCGGTAACATCATCAAACAATGATTGGTGGAATGGAAGGGAAGAACAGAGAAAGAGACAACTTGGGAAGGTGAGGTGCTACTGCAGAGTCAATTTCCTTCTTTCAGCCTTGAGGACAAGGCTGCTGTTGCAGAAGGGAGTAATCATAGGACTCCTAATAAGGATCATGGGAAGTGCACATGGGCTTGTTAATGGTAACAAGGAAAAATTATAGAAGGAATAGATAGGCCCAAAATATGGAATGTGTATGTAAGAAGAAAGAAATAGGGAGAAGTTAGTTAGGATGGGAAATGACGTGCCAAGAATCAAAGGATGGGGGAATTCTGTTATAAGAGAGAGTAGGGAGAGTGTGGGGTACTGGAGTAGGAGGTTGTGAGTTGGTTAGGAGGAGAATAATCCTCTGAAGGAGTCTAGGACTCTGGGGTTTTCCTGTGGCTGTAGAGCTTTCAGCTCAATCATCTTTTTACTGCATAATACTCTAAATAATACAACTTTGATATTCAGTAATTGTTTGGTTTCTATCATCCCTTCCTTTGTTTGAAGTTGGAGGAATTTTTACGAGCAACTTATAGGTATCTAGAAAATAGAAAGCTTAAAAAGATGTACAACCTGCAATTCTTTCAGGAACATATCTGAGAAAAGCCCAAGCATGAATGCATCCAGTGGAGTGGCACAGTAACCAGAACTTATCACTAACATTGATAGCATTGACCAGATGCAGAACATCAATGGCTGATGAGTTGAGATTTCTGTTGGGATGAGGATCACTCTCCCCAAAACCAGGAAGATCATATGTGATGAAGCGAATGCCATACTCTTCAAGCAACGATGATTTGACTCCAGGTAAACCTTCCATTGCCAAAAAGTAGAATAAGATTAGTTGCTCCACACCCAAAAAGCTCTTCTGGTGCCTAAAATTTCAACTCGTTTTACCTGCTAGTCTGGACGAAAGAAAAGAATGCGGAGCAACAATTGAAAATCTAGCTGTTTCAGAGGAAACACCTTGCTCATGATAAGCCATGAATCTACCATCAGGAAGTTGCACACGACTAGCACTAGGAGGATGTTTCCGCACCTTCATCATAGGAGCTACTGCCTCGCGACTGGGATCTACACTTATAGCTGCAAAACCACAAAAATCCAGTAACTCTTGAAGAAGCTCATACCAACAGGAAAAAATCATTTGTAAGCAATACCCATATGTGCTCCAAAATCTCAGACATGCATCACTTACCTCAATCAACAGGTATGGAATGAAAGTCAAAAAATAAATTAAAGAAAAATCAATGCATCACAAAGAAATATATGGTAACAATAACGAATACATTTAAATCTTGGTTGGATAAACTTTAGTTACAGAAAAGAAAAGTAAGACCCATTAATTTCTCCATTAACACTATAACTAAAGACAATTAATTATTTCATTTTTTTTTATATTTCCTTCGCCTACTATACGAACACTTAACCTATGAATCTTTCATTAGACTTTTTTCTTTTTAGATTGAGATAAATATAAATTGGTTTGAGCTAATGAAATACTTTTACCAAAAACCAAAAAAATAAAAACTCTATAAATTAAGATTAACTTATAACAGACAAGTTCAAATATAAAAAATGTTAGAGAAAAGTTTCACGTAAGTTAATTTTAATTTATGAAAAACTGAGTTTATTCTGTTCTCCTATTGTTACTTCTTTAATCTAACAAGTCCAGTGTAGAGTCCTGAGTAGCACATACCATGATTGGGCAAAAGAAAAAGCAAAATAGATTGTACGAGAGAGGAGGAGGAGTAGCGTACCCGCCAGCGCGAGAATGAAAACGAAGAACACAATGGACCAAGCATGAACGGGATCGCGATCCTCGGGGAGAAAATCGTTGAGAAACCTCAACCGCTTCGAAACCTTGGAACAAGGACCACCGAACTTCCTCACGACATAGGAATCCTCGTTCATCAGGTTCTGCCGCAGAATGTCCCTAAACCCTCTCCCGAGCTCCAAAAGTATCTCGCACCACGCCATCACGAAACCCAAGGCCTGCTCCTTCAAGCTCTCCCCGGACTCCACCCACTCGCTCTGAGGCGCGTACACGGACCTCCTCACCTCAAACGACGTGGCGGAGGAGGCGCTCGGATCTCCGCCGTAGCGCACGCCCGAATCCTCTATGAGACTGGCGAGCTCCTCCGTCCACGTGTCCCTGCCTCTCATTTCCGCCATTTCGCTAACCGCTTCCTCACTCTCTCCAAATTCTCTAATCACTAAAGCGAGTACTAACCTACTCGCGTGACGGTGGGTGATGATGCACACCCACGACACACACTCTCCCAACTGCACAAAGCGTGATCCAGAAGCAAAACTAAACCTTTTCACTAACCATTATTGAATAAATAATAAATTAAACAACCACTGTTAATGATAACCCGACCAGTATTCAAAACGGGTTAAAAAATTCAAAAAGGGGTTAGACGAATATTAGCCGAAAAAAAAAAGGTAAAAAGAGGAATATTAGAATTTCTCACTTTCTCAACCTTTGTCCAAGGAAAGGTCGTTGAGGCTCGCATACAGCAGATGAGTCGTAGTCGTTAAGTTACTGTTCTACTATTTGAGCAACGATTATTCAAAGATCATACAAGGTTAGAACTTTACTAAATTATTTTAATTCTTATGCCTAGAAAATTCTTCATATTATTAAATTGTTAAATTTGATTGAAGTTGACGACGAAGATGTGGCCACGTCAGAGACCAATGGCCACGCATTATTGTTAGGTTGAGTGTGTCTGCTCTGGCGGTTGGGTAGAAATTACTTGTATTTTACGAACATGCGCCGTTTTGCTCCATTACTCTATTATTGGGGTTGTGTATAATAAATTCACAATAATGATCGTTTTTTTTTCTTAATACTCTTTTCAATATCATATGTTTCTAATTTTGTCCAAAATTTTAGAAGTTTTGAATTTGATTTTTTAATAAGTAAATGTATTCTCGTTGGACAAAATAATGTCGGCGATTTACCGCATGTTTATTGTATGAATAGTAAAGATTTAATGGCTTAATTGGTCTTCAAATTCAGATGTTAGTGTCATGTTTGTTTTCCCTTAAAAACAAAGCTCAATTTCGTCTCCATGTAGTATAATTATACCAATCAAATTTTTTCCGTTAAATATATAAAAACAAAGTTATTTCCGTAGTGACGTGGTAAAGAAATATGAGTTTTGAATAGAAAAAAGTTTTCAAAATTTGCTAAAGTGTTTAGCTTAATCAATTACTGATAAACAAATTTTTAATTCT